AAAAGCCTTGAGAAATATACCTTTGGTTTGCCTCAGAGAAGTAACAAGTATTGCACTGTAAAGTTTATAAAATTGGTGCAACAAAACATTGTTGTAATGTTACAATGCCAGTTTACAAAGTTCAGTAACTAATGGATGTAGGAGGGCCTGGGGAAGCTCATGTACACACATGGAACTGTAAAAGCTATCTGTTTTACTAATAATGCATGTAGATTGTAAATCTACACCAACCAAGATTCAGATAATTTCTTAAATCTGAATTAACACTATCAGCTCACTTCACCTGCTGAGACCAATTAAGACTTCAGCACATTTAGCATTTTAAGTTTTTCTAATCTATGCAAAGAAAATTAAGTTTCTTCCCCAGCTTTTCAGTCCAGAAGTGACACTATACTACAGACAAGTTATTCCTTCCATTGTCAACATTCATGGGGTGCCATGGGACGAGGTCAGCTTGGGTTTTAATTTGTATCTGCACTCACATGCAAACAGTCCCCAAAGTTAGTGAGCACATGACTTTAGAAGTGACTAAAAATAAAATGGCTTCTCTTGGAAGACTAGAGCAAAACATCAGCCATAGCTGTAAGAAGCCTTATCAAAATAACGCAGCCTCTTATGAATTAAGCCTCAACAACAACATAAGGTAGCCACCAAATATGAAACAGCTCTGTAAAAGAGAAAAAAATATAATATCCTTAAAATATCCTGAAAACCAATGTGAATAAAGGTTCAAAAAATAATTAAGAGATAAATTTTCACTTTTTTTTTTTTTTTGGTACCAGGGATTGAACCCTTGCAAGGCAGGCAACAGAACCTCTGAGCTAAATCCTTGGAAAGAGATACATTTTCATAAGACTACCTAGGATTAGGCTTATAATATATTCCCTAGTATTTCAAGCTTATCACTAGTTACTAAATATCAATTTACAAACAACATGTTCTTTTTTTGTTCTTTTATCAAAAGAGAAATTCTAGCTTCAATTGTATGGAAAGGGCACTAGAAAATAAAATATTCAAATAGTTCCATGCAAACATATTTTGCAAATGGAAGAATTCCCATCTGGACCAGAAGTTCTGATTACTAATATATTTTCACTGAAATAATTTTCAGAAGGTACAAATACAAGGCATTAAGTTTCAGGACCTAATATAGGCCTGAGAATGAAGTCCTTGTTTTCTGGAAGAAAGGCCTCAAGTCCCAATTAATTTGTAGTAACAATTGGAACATAGTTCTTAAAAAGTAACATTCAATAAAAGCATGTTTATTTGGGGTTGATAAATAAATTCAATATGGAAAATATTAGGGAGAATTACTTTAATCATCATTCATTTGATAAAATACTCAGGACATTCAATTACCTCGAAAGTTCATGTGAATCATCATGTTCAGAGTCTGCCCACAAAGAGGAGATATTAGATAAAGTTGAGAAAATCCATTTTGAATTTTGAGTGGAAAAGAGAAAAGTAAAAAATATTAAAAAAGTAAATGTATATTGTCTAACACAGGTCAGGAAGCAAGCTATATCTGCCCTGATCTCATTAGATCATTGACAAAGTCATGTAATAATTCTGAGATGTCATATTCTATAAAATGCATGGATTAATGACAATGTATGCTGAAGATTATAACTATTTTAGAATAAGGATGGAAGGTCACATTTGTCACAACAGAAAAAAAAATGAGACCTTCAGCTTAAAATGAGAGAAAAATATGAATAACATTATAGCTGTCTAATTACCATACTCAGCATTGTGCATTTCTTGGTTATGTGAATTTGAATAAATTACTTAACCTTTCTAATATTTCATTTCTTAAATTTTCTCGGTATAATGGATATACCTACATCCAAAGTACATGAGGGACAGTTATTGCTCAAAATTTTTCACTTTTCTATATTTGATTGAACATATAAAATGGGTTGATTGAAAAGTAAAATGTTAGTGGAGGGATGTGAACTGCAAAGCTATATGGTGGAATTTGGCCAATTATTCTTCAGTTAAAGTCATGAATAATATAAAATGCTTTTGAATAAAAAATTTGAGAGAAGGCAGACAATTTTTGAAAAGAAAAATTTTTTCACAAAACAGAGTCATAGAAGAAGCAATTTAAATATTATCTCCAGGCACAAGTATACACACGGAATGAAAAGGAGAAAGAGGATATTAAAATTGTGGTTTAGAAGGCCAAATATGAAAGCATTATGCTCATTGTAATGGAAAAGAACTATTACCAGTTATATTTGGGATTTATAGATATTAATTTGGGGGAAGTAAGATACATAAATGAGAGTTATTAAGATGTCTTTGCAAACAGAAGTACCTTCTTATTTTTTCCCACGAAAGAAAAATGAGAAGGCAAAGGAAAGCCATAAAAGAAAATGTGGTGACATGAATTCAGTTGAGACATAGCCAGAAGATAATACTAAAATATTTTTTCTCAGAAATAGTGCCACATTCCTAGCTTTTGCCTCTACGGATTTAACTATTGTGTTTGTATTAATTAATACATAAACTTACATGTACATCTTTTAAAAACTAAGAACAGAATCCTAAGAGACAAATTATCCCATTATGATCCTTTCATTTTTTTCTTATTAAGTGTAAGTATGGTTTCTCATTAGTTATTGGTTTTGAGTACAGTACTGAAACTAAAATATTTAGAATAATATATAATTCATCATATCCATGCTATCTTCTATTGGAAAATATATATTTACTCATAAATACATATGCATGTATATATGATATTTTATCAGAAAAGGTTAGAAAGTTAAACTAGGTATGGTAAAATTTCTATTACAAAAACTTAAAGACTCATAAAACAAAATAATAACAAGGTAAATAATACATATATATCATTGTTTTATCAACTCTTGACATCTCTGTCCTGTTCTGACTAAGGGAACAGCTCCCATGTAATCACGAGAACTGGAGGCTTACAGAACAACAAAAAGTAAGGTGCAAAAATGCACTGGAATTTAGAAAAATGATTGCAATTCATTGGTCATTACCAGAGCCATTCCCAAATCTATCAATTGTGGTACAAAAGAAAGGGGCAGATAATGGGTTTAAGATAATTTCATGCCAGCTATAAGATCGAGTAGCATTATTCACATTAATCAAGATATGAAATGAACTTATGTCTATCAACAGATAAATGGCTAAAGATAATGTAGTATGTGTACACAGTATGATATTATTCATTCTTAAGTGGAAGAAAATACTATCATTTAGAGCAATATGGATAATAACCTACGCACAGAAAGATGAGTATCACACAATCTCACTTATGTTTTAAATCTAAAATCAGCCAGCATATAACTAGACATTATAATAGTGGTTACAAGGGTTGGGGCAGAGGAAGAAAATGAACAGATACTAGTGAAAATTATGCAAAGTTTCATTTAGAAAGGAGAAATATTTTATTTCTCCAAAAAAGCAAGCAAATGCCCAACAAACATACAAAAAATGCTTAACATCACTAATTGTCAGGGAAATGCAAATGCAAATTACAATAAGACATCATTTTACCACAATACTAAAGTCTATTGTGAGAAAGAAAGAACGAAGAAAACAATGTTGGATAAAGGGAGCTTTTGTACACTATTGATGTAAATATATATTAGTAGAGTCAATATGGAAAATGGTATGTATGTCCTTGAAAATCTTAGAAACAAAACTACCACATGATCTAACAACCCACTATTGGGTGTATATACAAAGTAAATCTGAGATACCCATTCTTCCATTTTCTTTGCAACACTATTCTCAATAACCAAGAAATGGAAAACAACGAAATGTCCATCAGCTGATGAACAGATAAAGAAAATATGGTACATTTATACAGTAAAATGTTTTTCAGTCACAAAAATGATATTCTGTAATTTGCATAAATATGGATGGAAATGAAGATCATTGTGTTACATGCAATGAGCTAGGCATTGAATGACAAATACTATATAATCTTATTCATATGTGGAAATTAAAATATTGATCACATTTAAGTTGAAGGTAAAATGGTAATTATTAGAGGGTAAGGAGATTAATTAAATATTCCTTTCTCCCTGAAATTCAGTGCATGAATTGGCTTCTATTATTTAACTTAATTTTAGTAGTATATGATTCTCAAAATGGTCTTTTAACTTCTTTGTTATTTAGCAAATATTTGAGTGCTTATTTGACGGATGCTAATGTAACTGATAAAAATATAGAGGTGAACTCTGTCCACAGAACTCACAGTACAGAGTCAATGAGTGTGTGATGAGCACTGAACAGAAAATGTGTGCTTCAGATCTGCAGATTTATTCTGTGAACACTCTCCTGGTAAAGTCTACAGAGGTTCGTGTCAGCACTTACTTAAGATTCCATGATAAGAAGGGAACTGTCAGCATTAGAACAAGACTTTTGAAGAGAATATGCCATTTGAAACCATTATGATACAGTCCAGGATCTGCCACAGCAGTTCTTATCCTTGGTAAGAATTTCTTGTGTTGTTCGATTATTCACATGATGGAAATACCTAGAGGTCATGACACATCACCAAAGTCCAAACACACCACTTTTAAATATTGTAGTATTTGTAAGAATATATATAGGAATATAAGTTGGGTCTTCGATATAATTGTTATCAGGCTTAGCATTTGGAATTGGAATTTTGAAATCAAAATAATGTAGATTTGTTAGGGATAAAAATGAAAAACAAGCAGGTTGTCAAATGTCAGTGGACAGACAGTAGGATTACCTAAGGCTTGACTATTAAAGCAGCTAGGAGCTCAGACAGGCATTTCTAGAATTGTCATTATCATAGTTTAAATATTTTGAAACTACATAAAGTTCCATTTAGATATGAATCTTTGGGGTATCTTTGTCATAATTTTGCCTTCCTTCCTTTCCTTCCTTCCTTCCTTCCTTCCTTCCTTCCTTCCTTCCTCCATCTCTCCCTCCCTCTTTACTTATTCTCTACTTTTCTCTCTCTCTCTGTGACTCTTCTTCCTTCCTTCTTTTTATTAATTTAACAGAGATGAAATTTTGGTTAAGCCCTATGCAAACATTCTTGTATGCCATTCTAAGGTGGTGGTATAGGGCTCTTTCACTGTTTCCTAGGTTAGAAGCATGGCGAGGTTTTTCTTTTCTTATGAAAAGTGTTGATGTCAGAAGTCCTTTTTGCCACAAATCCTCCAAATAACAATGAATACAGATGAGTGTGTTCATCTTAACTGCCCCATTCTGGAAAACAAAATGAAACAAAACAAAACAAACAAGAAAACAAAAAAATGAATGGTACCCTTATTGACAAAGTTCAATTCTTGAAGCAGAAGCAGTTCATCTCTAAGAAGTACTCTAATAGTGGGATAATATGCTTTTTTCTAAGAACTAAACATTAGTTGATTTTAATATATGCACATCAACTGTATTCATGGTTCAGGTCTGTTCTTCCACGAGCCATAGATTAATTCTGACACTGAGAAGTATGTAAGTTAATGTAGCCAATGACAGCTATATAGTAAGTGTAGGGAAAAGACCAAGAATCCTTGGTTAAATTTTTTATATCAATGTTTCAGACCTGTCTGGGTTGAGGATATTTTTCAGAGGTGAAGATTCATTACTGGAATAAAGTTTTAAATTATTTTGTATATCTCTTACTGAAGCAGTCAATTCAGGGCTAATATTTGCAATAGAAGATTCATATATACCAGTGTTTGTCGTATTTCATTTCAATTAGTCTCAAAAATCTAAGTATGCTCTGGACAGGATACTTAACTGAACTCACTGTGCTTCAGGACGTTTAAGAAAACTTTTGGTAATAGAATAAAATGATAAATTTTGTTTTGAAGTAGTATGTGACATGGTACAAGTCCAGACTCTGATCCTAAACACTTGCTGCAGATATGCTTCAAAATTTGGATTTAAAGCATTTACATAGGTAATTTAATACATATACATTAAATTATGTAATATTTCTGGGGGATTCAGGACACATATTTCACATCGAACATATTAATATTTTTGCAGCAAACATGTCTATTCTGTTCATAATTTGTTGCCAAGCACAAATCGGTCTGGATGAAAAAAACACCTTTTGATTTCTCATAGATTTTTAAATTTTAGGAATACAAACAAGGTATTTTGGACTTTTATTTGCAAAATTAGTATATGAATTTGGCCAGTGAGATTCATGAGTTTGTTTGAACAGATTCAACATGTCTTTTTTTAAAGAACCAACAAAACAATTCAAGTAAAATCAACATGTATATTAACCAGTAATGGAGATTTTAAAAAAAATTGAATGAAAAATAATGCATTAAAATATTAAGATTGAGTTGTTGAATTATTAATATTAAGGGATTGGTTGTATATTTTCAGATGACAACTCACCAAAGTTTGTCTGCTGGCCAGTTGTTTAAAATGCTCTATACCACATTTTAAAAAATAAATAGTGGTTAGGAGACTGGCTGATTTTTAAGATACAAAAGCTGGCGAAGCTAGGAAATTCAGTTCCCAGAGCTCTAGGTCCAGGGAGATCAATGTAGCGAATCTCTTGGGAGCCATGTTTGCTTCAGCTGTTTCCACTCTTGTTAGATAACCTCATTTGCCACTTCTCCATTAGGAGCTTCAGAGCCATCTCGTTTCACTGGTCCAATGCTGAAAAGAACTGGAGCTTCAAAGCTCTTCATCTATTTTCCAATTATGAAATCTAAAGAAACTGGCCCCTTGATGTTTTACACAAATTCTTGTTTATAGTAAAGGCCAATGAAACAAAGGAGACGGTCTTTTTCTCTTTATTACTTAGTTGCTGTAACAAGACTAAAGTATACTTTTAAAAACACTAATTAGGGCCTGTGATGTAGCTCAGTGGTGCTGTGCCTGCCTGGCAAGTGCGAGGTCCTGAGTTAAATCCATGGCACTGAGAAAGAAAAAAAAAATCCTAATCATTGCTTTCTGCTCAAAAAAGGATTCATTCTTCTCTCAGAAAGTAGAATGGGTTAGGATGTCAAATTTAATTGGGTTCAAATTGTCAGTTTCTTTTTCTTTTTTTTTTTTTTTTTCATTGGGTATCTAACTTGGGACCTTGCGCTTGTGAGGCAGGCAGCGGAACCACTGAGCTAAATCCCCAGAATCCCCAGCCAGTTTCTTTTTCTTTATAATGGGAGCAGTTATTGATAATTCTTTTATTATACTAGCACCTTAAGATTATTATGTGTCTGTATACTACTTTGCCTGAAATAAATACAACTTTTGTCACTTTTTTTTTTTTTTTTTTTGGTACTGGGGATTGAACTCGGGTCCTTGCCCTTGCGCAGCAGGCGGCAAAACCACTCAGCTAAATCCCCGGCCCTAATAAATACAACTTTTAAAAACTTGTTTGAAAAATTTTATCACACAGGTTTTTTGTTGTTATTTTTTTGGCAATTTTTAGTAGTAAGCCAAGGAAATATTTTCTCTGGGAACCCATTCTTATAACATTAGTGTCTTACCTGGGCTAATTTTACCTCCTCTATATTCTCATATCCACGCAATGAGACACTTTACCTTACAGTGCAGGAATCTCTTTATGTTTTTGTCTTATTCCAGCAAGGTCCAAGTCCAGGAGGGGTAAGTCATCATCATGTCAATTAGTTGCTAAAAATTTCCTTATGATAATTAATCAGTAAAAGCTAAACCATTAACAAGAATAGATTTAATACAAATGTTTTGTCTTTTAATTCTTACCTTGTGACCTATCCAGAAACTAAAAGGAATTTAGTGATTTGTCTATGTCATTTATGACTGCCAGTTTATGGTGCTTGTTTTGCTATATCTGCTAATATAACCTTAGAGAAAAGGAAAAACTCTATTACCACCTTGATTAGTAGCAATGTAAGTATTTAAACTCGTTATACTGTGGGAAAAAGGAAGGATTAATTCCCATTGAAAGCAGGCCAATGGGGGGAAAATTTGCCAATTTCTCCCAAAATGTGTTGATTTAAAATATACAAATTATAATAATAAAAATGTATTTCATAATCGCTAATAAAAATTTCAGCATATCATAAAAGAAAGTTTATATTGATGATTATTAAATGACCTATAAAGACAGTTTCTATCATCTGTTTTTTATGGTTTTGGTGGTTATCCCAAGGATTATTTTGCAAATTTCTCAAGCAGCATATCAACTTCACTCATCACAGATACTAACTAGTAGTAAAATATCATCATGATATTATTCTTGTCACTTTAAATATTCATTTTCCTTGCCTGATTTTTAGTGTTTATAGAATATTTTCTACTTAATTTTATATTATTTTGTCATGAGATTGTACTTACAATTGATATATAAGATAGTAATCACAGTTTCTTGGATAATAATTTCGATGGTGTTTTTCTTACTTTCTTCAACATTCAATGATTATCTTATCCCTTCATACTATAATTTTCCACATTTAGCTACCAAGGCAATATATTCCAGTTGCTCTTTGTTAGAAATTAACATTTTAGCATTTCATTTGATATAGACTTTTTTAGACACTTACACATTTGTCAAAGTTTTTGAATATCACAACTGCAATCTACATGTAACCATTTATATTATAATTTTGCAAATCATTGATCACCATCCCTGACTTGATTTTGCACTTTTAGCAGGGTGTAACCAAAATTTTGGCACTTCAATTTGATATGGCTCTGTTGGAGCCTGTTTAACTTTATATTTGTAATGAATATATTAGATTTGAGGTGTCAATCTTATGTTGAAATACACGTTCCAACTTATTAAACATATGCATAAGAGAATTAAATCATTTTATGATTATTATTCTATAAGTAGAATATTAATGTAAATGTTGTTAAATGGAGTAAGTAATCTTTTGTCAGCAAAATTGGTAGGTATTGTTAAATGTAATTAAAAACATCTTGAGTCATATGAGTTGCTTCGCATTTTTAAATAATTAAAATGCATTTTAGGAAATGGTAAATTTTGAAATGTCTGAGCAATTTTTTACTTAATTTTTAATCTAGTTATCCAATAATCTTTGGGAATAGTTTTTTACTATATCTCAAAATTTGATACTTTTCTTAATCCTACTTTTAATTTTACCTAACACAAATCATATCACAATGTACCCTAGAATCCTTTAGTAATTATGGATGTCAAAGATATGAGAAATTAACACAAAGTGAGTTTTACTTTCACTGTGGTAAGGACAGCCAATGAATCAAAGGTCCAGCTAAAACAGCTCTAGTTTTTGGAAAGTAGCTGAATAGAGAAAGGGCAGAACCACTTGGAGACATGTGACAATTTAGCGGTAGGTGTATAGGATACTGCTAATGGCCCAAATTAAATCTTCCCATTTAGTCACAAAGGAACAGAGTAACAGCCAAGTGACTTGGAGAGAATTTGGGCAACATAAAAAGAAAGCAAGTAAGATAATTAAGCCATCATTTCTTTAAAAAGATGACTCAAACAGTTAAGATTCTGTGAAGATTTAACAGCTTGATAATGACCAAGCTGGGCAAAAATCCAGTACAGTTGTTTTTATTAAAAGAAGCTAAAATTTATTGATTTATTATAACTTTCATTGATCTTCTTAGTCAAAATCTTTAAATTATATATTATGAAGCAATGAAAAGACATGTAGTTTGATAAAAATAATTTCACTGGACAAAGGTTGGTTTTATTTTTAAAATATTTATCAGATAGCAACACATTATGATACATAGGGCAACACAAAGTTCATGGTCTGGTCACATCAGTGTTATACGGATTGTTAAAATTTTAATCCAGAATTTTCTCACATTTTTTCGGTCTATTTAGTTTTCACTTGTTAGATTCTAATAACGTTTTTGAATTCTGATAGTCACTTCTAAGGAAAAAATCTGTTAGCTTTCCCTGCAAAATTAGCCTTGGTGTTTCAGTTTCATCTAAGCTTGCTGAAATTGTAAGAAATAAATGCATATGATGTTTAAGAATTATGCAGGTACATTAGTATTACAAACAACTTATTAATAATAAAATTGGCATCAGGGTTTGTATTGTATCATATATAGTATATGGTTTTGACCATTATATAGTGGTATGTCGTGGATTAACATTCTACCATGGATTAATAGTCTTCCGTGCACTAAACTAAGATCAAAGTAGATTAAAGATCTAAATATTAAGACAGAAACATTAAATTTGCTGGAGATAAGTTAGGTAGAACTCTTAAAGACATGGGCATAGAAAAAGACTTTATGAACAAAACCTCAGCAGCATGGGAACTAGCACAAAGAATCAACACCTAGGATCTCATCTAATTTAAAAGCTTCTGCACTGTAAGAGAACCACAAACAGAGTTAAGAGACAACCTACAATCTGGGAAAAAATTTTCAGCATCGTACCTCAGACAAAGGACTACTATCTAGAATATGTAGAGAACTGAAAAAAATCAGACCCCTCAAATTCAAAGACCCAATTGAAAAATGGGCATCTGAAATAAACAGACATTTCTCAGACAAAGAAGTAAAAGCAGCAAATAAATATACGAAAAAATGTTCAACATCACTGGTCATTCGAGAGATGCAGATTAAAACAACACTGAGATTCTACCTCACCCCAGAAAGAATAACTGTTATAAAGAAATCATCCAATAAATAAATTCTGGCAGGGGTGTGGGGAGAAAGGAACCCTTCTCCATTCTTGGTGGGAATGAAAACTAGTGCAACCACTGTGGAAATCAGTATGGAGATACCTCAAAGAACCAGGCTTGGAGGTCCCTTTCAACCCAGCTATTCCCCTGCTGGTTATCTTCCCAAAATAATTAAAAGACTCACACAAGAAGTGATATATGTGCACCTATGTTTATAGCGACACAATTTGTAATAGCTAAAGCTTGGAAACAGCCCAAGTGCCCATCAAATGGAGACTGGATAAAGAAAACGTGTTATTTTTATAAAACGGAGTACTACTTAGCCATAAAGAATGAGGAACTAGAGACATTTAAAATGGAGGTATATTGAGGCCATCCTCTTAAGTGAAATAAATAGGACACACGTGTAAATACTGAATAGTTTATCTAGTGTGAGAAACTGAAAGTGTAATTAAGGAGTAACATGATTAAAATGAATAATTGATAATTTGAAATACGAAGAATAGTTTCAAAGGGATAGGGGTGGAGGAGAGGAAGGGGAGAGATCAGAGTTAGAGGCTGGAATCTGGAAAGAATCCATATATAAATTGTGTTTAAAACTATAGGAAGAGATGTAGATAGAGACTAGGCTGGAGCTCATCAGTGGGTTGGGTAGGAAGAGTCACTGAGATCAAAGAAGAGAAGGGTATGTTTCCAGAAGAAGCACATACAACTATGTATAATACACAGCACTCAATAGTGTGATAAATGACTGTCACTGTTTTAGGTACTTATCATAACATACTGTGCTTTTCATCCTTTAGAGCATAATCCTACTTATATAAAAGAATTTACTGTAAAACAGTATGCTGCTATGCCAGTGATAGCCTCATGTATCTCCTGTTTAACTGGGTATTTGGATAATATCAAGGGGCCATCACAGATGATTGACGTATACCTTTTCAGTTTGCACTTACAAGTTCGCACTCTGTGTGGTACTTTGCGATACACACAAGTGAAATTGCCTAATAATATATTTCTCAGATTATATTTTATCACATTACATGACTATATTGAAATTGAAATTTAAAAAAATTTGGCCTATGTAGAGTCTACTAGTTAATTAGAATTTTTTCTCCAGACCACTATTTGTTCAATATTAGTTTTGAAAATCTTTCTAAAACAAATCACATCTTCTGATGTCTTGGTAATGCCTGAGATATTTTTTAAATTAAATGGAAAAATGTTTAAGTACTTTTCAGTTTTGTTTTGGTTGAGTTCTATTATATTTGAATATTATTATCATTTTTCCCTTGCATTGCTTTTCTTTGAATAATTTTAACTTTTGTATATGTTTGTGTTCAGTGACTGATAATAAAGTTATACATTTAAAACATTTATTCCGGAATATACTATTCACTCTCCACTATTTGCTTAAGTCAGGTTTATTTTGTTGAAAAATAAAATATAACACAATTTCACTGTGGAGCAGAAGGAAGAATTCTTCTGGTGCACCATGTATTGTTTAGTGTTGAAAACACCTTAGCTATTCAATTCATATCCAAGTAAATCACAATCTATTTCTTAGATTCTAGGTGAGGAGTACGAACTTGGAAGACAGTGATAATGTGGTTATAGTCAAAGAGGGATACCGAACTACAAAAAGAAGATTAATTTTAATGAGCAAAATGATATTAATAAAATATCTCAAATATTTACAGAAATAATTATATCTCAAATAATTATAGAAATATGCATTAAATTAAAGGCAATTAAAATACATATTAATATTCTAATGCATAAAAACAAATCAAAGGAACTTTAAATGCAGAATTTATGTAAGACTACATTTTAATTCCTGTCTTTTATCATAGCATTACTTAGATTAAAAGATACAGCAGAAGGTGAAGAAGTTGATTTACTCTCATAATTCTGAATCATGAAGAACAAAGTCTGTATTTTTAATATTATCTATGATGAATGAGGAAGAAATAAGCAGTTAATAGATCAATGACAAAACTTCTTGTAGGTACTCACTAATTTGGAGCTGAAGACATGAATTCTAAACAATAAACATTATAAAATGATCTTCTCAACATTACATTTTGTTGTAGAATAGGATAAATAAGGATAATAACATAATAATGAATACAATCTGTGGGTACTATGCACTTTGAGTACTCGATCAGACCAGAATTCAATTGACTACCCACATTCACTCTGCTGTCTCTTAATTATATAACATTCTTCTTTCCCTTTTCTTTTTTTTCCTGAAAAAGTAGGCAGGTTGGGCAGGAATCACTTCACAGACCTGTTATGTATAATAGTTAGGATATTGGCAGAGAATACCTTGGCTTAATAATTGGATACAGGTGGAAGGATATCATGCCAAGTTCAATTCATTTGTGGTGACAATATACCAATGCACAGCTTTCATTTCCTTACAGCTTTTTTATTTTTTAAAAGAGAAAAACAGACATGCTATGGGAGGGCAAATGCCAAGGAAAACCTAATTTTTCATACTGTGAAAAGGAAGCTGTCTTTATCTTTTTAGATAAAGAAAAACTTTCATTTGAATAGTTTTCCTGGAATTTGGGTATTGGAAGTGGTTAAAATGTACGTCTTTAAATATTTCAAATATTTTTCAGGTCAATTTCTAGTCATTTTTGCTTTTGCAATAAATTATACATTAAAGGTGAGGAGCCAAGAACTAGATAAAAGACCCAAAGTCATGCCTCTGTCACCCACTGAGATAAATTTAGGCTTGTTCCCTACGTAGCTTTTGACCCAATCAAGTTGAAAATTCCATGGAATTGTCACATACCACCCCTTGTTAACTTTACAGTTGAATACATATCCTTAAAGTATACTTAAATTTCTATTACAGAAAGTACATGATAATTCCACCTAACATAATGTACCTATTCTGAGTTTAACTCAACTACATTAATCTCTTTCCCAATGTCAGTAATTCTAACATTGTTTAAGAGTCTAAGTCAAAGTCTCTTCTGAAACTCAAGGAATATTGTTAGCTATGATGCTCTGTAAAATTTTTAAAATATTAAATATTACCAACATACTGTGGTACAGGTTAAATATTCCCATTACAAAAGGAAGGAATATAGACACAGAAAAGAATTGGATTAACCAAGACCAAAACCCAGCAAGGCAAACAATACATACTGTAGCTTTGTATCTGATATCAGGAAATTATGGTGGTAGTATGTAAGTTCCAGAGTTCTTGGGTATCTCTACCCCTATTACCTTGATGGGGTGGCTCCATTCATGGCCTGTGATTTTTCTCAACCAATGTTCCTTGTGCTTGGCATTAATGAATTCTTAGAGTATCCAATCTAATGTTTATTACCCTAAATTTGTACACTCTCATCTCAAGAGCATATTGCCTTTGAAATATCTGAAATATTGGTTCAAGATCCCATGACCTGACAACTCTTACATTACACATACCTGCAAAATAACCATCATGTGGAAAATTCCAAAGTCTGTTGCCAGCTCTATCAATAGCTAGGCCCCATTGAATCATGGCTTCATTGGCCTCTGAGTTCCTGGATGACTGAGTAAAATAAAATGAATTCTGAACAAAAATTCCCTAGATGGCCCTTCTCTAGGGAGGTCAAGGGCTTTTTCTGAAATGAAGGTTTATACTTTTATACCCTTGAACCTGTGATGAGTGGTTTCTTGCTGATTCCTGAGAACCCCTCAAGGCATCTTTCTTCTTGTTCCAGCTGAAATTTTCTCCTTCAGCTAGTTAGTCTTCTTCCATCAATCTTAGTTTCCTGCAACATCTGGACATGGGAAAAATGCAGAAAAAATTTTGCCAGTATGTAACATGCATGACATGTAGTCCAATTTCAAACAGAGTACTTGTTCCCAATGAAACTTTATGAATCTGGCTTTTACTTCCCTCATTCTCTGCCATGAGACCCTTTCTTGGAGCCAGCCTATTAAACATGAAACATCTACTATAAACTGTGAGCCAAAATAAACCTCTCCTTCTTAAACTTATGGGTGCCCAGTATTTTGTCCCAGCAACAAGAAAGTAGACTGTAAGTTTGAGGCCAGCCTAAGCAAATTAGCAATAACCTATCTGAAAATAAAAGTAAAAATGACAGGAGATATAGATCAGCATTCTCAGGATTCCATCACAATTCCAAAAGAAGAAGGAGGAGGAGGAGGAGGAGGAGGAGGAGGAGAGGAAGAGGAAGAAGAAGAAGAAAAGAAAAATACAAACAAAAATCAAATTGTTTTGACTGATGAATGGGAATATATATCTCTAAGGATGTTAGAAATGTTCTATATTCTTCATAAACATACAGAAAAATTTTTCTGTAGCCATAGATACTTCCACCAAGCCAAGAGTAAGGAAAACAAATATGTAGGCAATATGATTGCACATGCTTGCATTTCTGGTTTTTTTATATTAATTGGTACATTTTAGGTATACAATACATTTACATTTATCATTGGGTGTTTGTACCTGAACATGATGTATCTTAGTTCTTATTTTTTTCCCCATTACCTGTGCACCCTTCACCCCACTACCCTTCCCTATTTACATAGACTTTGTTTCCACTTTTTTTTCTTTCACATAATTTTTCCTTTCTTTTCTTCCCTTTCCCCTTCCCCTCCCACCACCCCTCCACCTTTAGACCTTTTCCTATTTCAAATTCAATTATTCATTTTAATCATTTTCATCCTTATTTACACTTTCAGTTTCTCACACTAGAGATACTATTCTATACTCTTAAGTGAAATAAATAGGAAACACATGTGTAAATGCTGAATAGTATCTCTAGTGTGCATTTCTGTTTTAAAAGCATGGAGGGCATCATGATGTAATAGTTGGTTTCTGATCATGTCCTTGAGCTCCAGAATGTCTCCCAAATAATTAATCTCAATCTCCATCGTCAGTTTTCTCCCTCTCTCTCTCTCTCTCTCTCACACACACACACAGAGTCACATGTACACACACACACACACACATAATTCATTGAAAATAAAGTTAGGACAGTATAATTATAGCTTCAAAACAATATTGCTAGCAACACTTCTCTAAATTTAGTTCATTACATATGTATTCTTTATTAAATTGACTGTGTGGATATCATCAGGCTTCCTGGTGTGTTAACTTTCTTTAGTGACAAGTGGTGAAATATGTAGACTTATTTTTTCTTGTAAATTATGCCATTCTTATCTTTATGGAATGGCACTGAAACATGTATAAAATGTTACATAAAACAGGTTTATGTCATATTAGGAAATACTCTTCTGTTTGAAAATAATTTCCAAGTTTTATAGTGACAAGATAAATTAAATCATATTTTTCGTTGTTTATCCTCAATTTACATGTATTTTTAATTTAGGGACTTATAACCCTGATCCACATGATATGCATCAGAAAAATTTTTAAAAACTTCATCTGCTTATACAGTAATTTTACTACATTTATTAAAGCAGATTAATTTGATAACTTTTGTTGTATTAAGAATCTTCCAATTATTTTAAGAAAAATAATTCTTTCTTGTAGGAATGCTAAAATAAAAGGATCAAGCAAAAGTAAGGTTTACATGTAGAAAAGCTAAATAGTTATTAGTGTATAAAGTTTATAAACAAACCCTTCAATATGAGTTATATCTCTCTAAACATAAAACAAAATTTTAAACTGATATGAGTAAGTAAAGATCAAGTGTCAGCCTGTCAGACATCTATAAATCACAATTAAGTTCTTTTATAATTATTAATGCATACCTAAGCATTCAACTCTGGCTTTCGCATGTTAGGGGAAGAAAAGTTAATACTCTGACCTGAAGGTCTGGCAGCATTAGACTTGGCTTACTGTCTAGCTTACATATTAATATAGAATCCACCTTTGTTTGGCTCAAATCTGTCTCCCTTAAGAATGATGCCAATTACCTCTCTTGCCAGTTTTTCAATTGGCAGCTATACTTGTTCAGTTATCACTGGCATGCATGAAGCCTAATGAGGCAAAAGAACAAAAGGAATGTCTATTTAAACTGACTTTTTAGGACTGTTCAGATATTGCTGAAAATATGTGCTTTCAGTATCACATTTCAAAAACTACTTGAAAGGTATGTTGGAATTCCTTAATTTTAAGGATTATACAAATAGTAATACATCATATTTCTACTATGCTTTGTTTCTCTTTCCAATCATCAACTTTTATTACAGTTTTATGCCATGACACATATTTGTGGTTTTAAAGTGTCTGCCTTCCTTTTGTTTGCCTATTTCAAACTCAATTTACTCTAGAATTCTCCAGGTGAAGATTATTTGTTAGTAAATAATTTGAAATATTTTTATACTATCTGATCACAATGTAAGAAAAGAAATTTTAAAAAAATATTTATCCCAAGATGTCTCAGCCTGTGTCTCAGTGATGTTTTTTAGATATCACATGAAATAAAATTTAATTTTACTGATGATACACTCATATAAATATGAGAATCATTGATGTAGTTACATAAATTAGATTAGAGATGTGATCAGGCTAAGAACTGCAATGTCTGCAAGTATATTAAGATCAACTTGGCTTTAGATTGCCTACAGTACTTTATATTATTCATAGTTCATGCTCACCTTGCAAATCTAAAGAGCTATCTTCTAACCTAATAACATACACATAAAAATTAGAATGTTACATGATTTCTTATAGGAGTTAATGACAGAGTTTTCTCCTAGATCTTGAATTTTAATTGGATAACAAAAAATTATTGCTAAAAAATGAAAAAAGTGTCATGTCACAACTTCTTAAGTGTGACTTATTAGAATCAAAGGAAGTGTTTTGAAGGACACCTAGACAAAATATACAATATCCTCCCCTTAACTACATGATTTTCTGAAGTTTCAATGACTGAAGTCCAAAAAGAAATAACACATATTTCAAATTCTGTCTTATTTTGAGTAATGGGATGAAATCGTAATACTGTCTCCTGTGTCTGTGGAAGGTGTGCAGCATCTTTCATTCCACTGTATACACTATGCACTTGTTAGTCACTTTGTACCTGTCCTGATTATCAGATCAACTGTCATGTTATCAGTGTTCATGTTCCAGTAACTGAATACCGAATAATACTGTATCAAAATTTTCATCTTACTTTATCTCATCATGTACAAATTTTATCATCTCACAGCATCTCAAGAAGTGGGATGAATGGAGTTCGATTAATTATTTTGAGAAAGCATGCTCACATGACTTTTATTATATTGTTATATTATTCTTTTTATGATTGTTGTCAATAATCTCTTACTTTACCTAATTAATAAATTAATTAAATGTGGATACATAAGGAAAATCGTATATATACAATTCTTACTACTGTAATTTGAAGAATACATTCTGGGTCTTGAACCATATCCTTGGCAATTAAAGGTGACTACTACATCATGCAGAAAGAGTGTATGGTAATATTTAGTAGCTTAAATAATATGTATAGATCTGGTTGGAATGAATTTTAAAATTAAAAGAATTCTATTAATTACATCATTCTCATTATTTTCTTGCATACTTTCTTCATGACAAACACACACTCAAGTTCATATTCCCTGTTCCATTTCTTGACTGATTTTAAACTACCAAGGAAGTCCATGAATTTTATAGTAACCTAAAGAGACTATGAATTTTATGGTAACCTAAAGAGACCTAAAGAGTAAGTTTCTTGATAAAATTAAAGCTTTTTACAATCCATGATGTGACTTTTTCTCTTAATATTGACCCTCTTCCCCCTCTGATAAAAAATGATATATTCTCATTAAAATGAGGTCAAGCAAAGCAAAATTAATGTACTATCACATCAAAATAAACATTGGTTACATCAAGTAATTATCAATTTAGAGATGTCTGTAGACATATATGCAAGCAGAAAAAGAAATAGCTACAGTTCTTAGCTGGTTAATTAGAATGACAAATGTGCTTATTAAAATAAATCATAATATGTATGCTATATTTAATTAAAATAATTAAATATTATTTGGTTTTATTTAAGCAAAGAACAAACTAGAAGTGAAACAATTGATGAGTTACACATAATATTTTTTCAGTTAAGGTTAACATGAAAATTGAGAATATATTATTAAATTAAAATAACTTTTTTAATGTATTGATATTTTTCAGCTTTATAGAAGTATAATAGACAAAAATGTTATGTGTTCAAGGTATATAATTTGATGATTTCATAAACATAAACATTGTGAAATGTTTGCCCCAATCAATGTCATTAGCACACCATTATTTACATTATTGCCACTTTGTATGTGCATATGGTGAGAATATTTAAGTCTAGCCTTTTAGTAAACATTAATAAGAATGCAAATTAGTAAGTATAATTATCATGGTGTACATTACATCATCAAAACTTATAAATATATCTTAAATATACCTTGTATCCTTTGACCAAAATCTCTCTCCTCCTTACATACTAGAGCCTCACAACTATAATTTTGTAGTTTGATTTTTAGTTTTTTAAGAGCCCATGAGTACCAAAATTTATAATATTATGAAATAAGAATAACAGGTTCAAAGGGAAAAGGGGACTAGAGAGGGGTTGGGGGAAAGGAAAGAATGGAAAGAAAAAAATGAGAAAAGAAGGAGAAACAGAAAAAAAATGCTTTTGTAAATAGGGACCAGTGGAAGGGTGGAAGGGAGGAAAAGGGAACCGGAAAAAACAAGAATCAAGATATATCATGTATAGGTACAAATTTCCAATGATGAATGTGATCATAATGTATTCTGAAAATGTACCAATAAATTTAATGAATAGAAAAATAAAATAGTCCACAAGTAAAAAGATTGTAAAGTATTTTTTTTGTATTCTTGGTTTAGTTCATTGAGCATAATATCCTCAGGGTTCATCAATATTTTTACAAATGGCAGTTTACTTTTTCATGGCTGAATAATACTGTGTGTAGATTAAAAACCTCTTCATCCAGTCATCCATTAGTGCCTACTTATTTTTCTTTCCATATTGCAGCAATTGTGAATAATGCTGTATTGATCATGGGAATGGAGATATTTCTTTGGCATATCAATTTGATTTACTCTGAATATATACCTAGAAGTGTAATTACTGGATCACATGGTGGTTCTATTTTTAGTTTAATTTCTCAGGAACATCTACATTGCTTTTCATAATGGGTGTACCAATTTATACTTATGGTAACAATGTACAAGTGTTTGCTTTTCAACATGCCTTTGCCAATATTTGTCTTTTTGATTATAGCCATCCTAATGGATATGAAGTGATATCTCACTATGGTTATCAATTGAATTTCCTTCATGCTTAGTGATGCTGAGTGCCTATTCATGTATCTGTTGCCATTTTTTATGTCTTTCTAGAAAAAGTTGGGGTTCTTACCAGTTTTAGATAGGGCTATTGTTTGTTTGTTATTGGCTTGTATATATTTCATGTATATTTTGGATAATAAGATCTATTAAATATTTGGTTTGCAAATATTTTCCCCCATTCCACAGTTTATTTTTCATTTTGTTTTTTGTTTCTGCAACTGCAAGAAGGTTTTTATTTTAATGTACTGCTGTTTATCTTTTTTATACTGTGATTTTAGTTTATTTATTAATAAATGTCCAGGCTAGTGTCATGAAAATTTTTGCCTATATTCCTATATTTTTTCCCATTAGTAATTTAAGAACTTTATGCTTTGGAATCTTACACTTGATTTTTAAATTCATTTTGTGTTACTTTCTGTGTATGGTATGAGACTAACTACATTCTGTTTTATATGTCCAGTTCTCCCAACACCATTTATTAGCCCTTCACCATTGTGTAATCTTCATGCTTCTGTCAAATATTAGTTCATAAAATATGCATGTGTTTATTTCTGGGCTCTGTGTTCTGATCTACTGATCTTTGTTTTTGTTTTATGACAGTGGCACATTATTTTGATTATTGAGCTTTGCAATACAATTTTGAATCAAGAAATGCAGTGCATCTGGGTTGGTTCTTCTTTCACAGCAATATTTTGGCTTCCAGAGATATTTTATGCTTTTATACAAAACTTAGGCTAGCTTTTTTATTTCTAATTTGATTTTTTCCTTTCTCTTTTTCTTCCTTCTTTCTTAGTAAATTAAGATGATAAATAAGCAAAAGAATAATGTGCCTGTGGGAGGTTTACTTGAGATATATGCATGTTGTTTGGAGTATTCTGTTGGATTGTATGTACATGTTGGTGAGAATGAGATTGTTGGCAGTGTTGTGTCTTATTCATTTCCCCAGAGAAGTCGAGTCAATAGGACAGACAGATGGATAGACAGACAAGAGAAAGAGAGTAATTCTAGGCACTGGTTCACAGCTTCTTTGAGAGGTATGCCACAGGCTGCTTCCATGGCCCCAAAAGCTGAGTAATCACTCCCTTAGCCACCTCATTTTTCTCTGCCACATACAGGGTAAAGGGCTTGTTTAAGTCTGGCAGTGCCAGGGCTGGAGCCAATGCAAGTGCAGTCTTAAGCAATTGAAATGCCTGCTGGCAAGCCTCAGTCCATTCGAGGGGTGTATTTCCTCCCACAGTGGCTTCATGCAGGGGTTTGGCAATTTCAGCAAAGCCAGGAATCTAAATTCTGCAATACCCAATTGCCCCTAGGAATTCTCGCACCTGTTTCTTTGAGCTCGGCTCTGGGATCTGGAGAATTGCAGATACCCTTGATTCTGCCAGCCTCCTCTTTCCCTTTTCAAGAATATAGCCCAAGTAGGTTACCTTGGTCTGAAAGAGTTGAGCTTTCTTCCGGGACACTCAATATCCCAAATCTTGGAGGGCTTCCAGGAGGCCCTCGGTGGCTGTAATGCATTCTTTACCTGTCGACGTCACCACCAGGAGGTCATCTACATATTGAAGAATAGTAGCTTGGGGAAACACCTTTCTTACCTCTTGTAAATCTTTGCTGAGAGCTTCCCCAAACAGAGTGGTGGAGTTTTTGAATCCTTGTGGCAGCCGGGTCCATGTCAGCTGTTCAGTAGTTCCAGTGTCTGGATCAGTCCATTCGAAGGCAAAGAGGGGCTGGCTCACAGGTGCTAGAGGCAGGCTGAAAAACACATCTTTGAGGTCTAATACTGAGTACCACACATGACCGGGAGGGATGAGACTCAACAGAGTATAGGGGTTTGGTACTGTTGGGTGAACGATCTCCACTTCCCGCAAATCTTGTACCGGTCTGAAGTCTGAGGTGCCAGGCTTCCTCACAGGAAGCAGGGGTGTATTCCAGGCTGACTGGCAAGGGATCAGGATGCCAGCTTCCTGGAGTCAGTGGATGTGTTTGGCTATCCCTACCTTGGCCTCCAGCTGAAGGGGGTACTACTGCACCTGGGCAGGGGTGGCAGAGGCCAACAATTGAACCACCACCGGGGCATGGTGTTTGGCCAGTCCAGGTGGATTGGTTTCAGCCCATACCCAGGGAAACTTTTTTTGAAGGTAGTCCCATTTCTGTTCGGGAGGCTCTGTGCCCTCCTTTAGAAATTTAAATTCATCTTCTAGGGGAACCATTACCATAATGGCAGAGGGTGGCTTGAGTTCAAAAGTCCCTCCTTCAGACTCAAAGGAAATAAGAGCCCCCAATTTTTGTAGCAAATCTCTTCCCAGCAATGGGTATGGGCACTCAGGGATAACTAAGAAGGAATGAGTAACAGTGCCTTTTCCCAGATTTATAGTTCATTTAGTGGTCCAAGGATAAGAGGCCGACTTTCCTGTGGCCCCAGTAATGGAGGACTTTAGGGAAGAAAGGGTTCCAAGGGGGGTCTTGAAAGGAGGACAGAATGGGCCGCACCAGTGTCCACAAGGAATTGGACATCTGTTCCCCCTATTTCCAAAGTCACCATAGGCTCATTAGGGTCAAGCAGCCATGAGCCTCGGCCCCGTCAATCTTCCTCATCTATCAGAAGAACTCCATTTCTTTCTTTCTTAGTCTCTTTCTCTCTCTTTCTTTTTAACTTTTCACAATCCCTTCTATAATAGCCCTTCTCTTTGCAGTACGTGCATTGATCCTTCTCTAACAAGGGCCGTACCTTATTTTTATCCTCTTTTTTACTTTCTCTGCATTCCTTTTGGATGAAACCTCCATCTGCTAAGGCCGCAATATTTGCTTTTCTTATCTTTTTAGCCATTCTGTCATCAAAAGGATCCCTATTATTAAACACCTTCATTGCCACACTCATCAACTTTTCCCTATTTTCTCCCTCAAATCCTTCCATCCGCTGCAATTTCTTTCTAATATCTGGGGCCGACTGAGTAACAAATGCCAAATTAATTGCCTGTCAGTTTGCAGGGGCATCTGGGTCAATTGGAGTATATGTATGGTATGCTTCCAATAGATGCTCCAGAAAGGCAGAAGGGGATTCCTCAGGCCCTTGAAGGACTTCGCTTACCTTGCTCAAGTTGGTAGGCTTTCAAGCGGCTCCCCTCAAGACGGCTAGGAGATGCTGATGGTAGTTTTGGAGAGCTTCTCTCCCACCTGAGGAATTAACTTGCCATGGGGGATGGGTGGAAGGAAGTTGTGCCTCAATACCGGCTCGTTGTTGCTCATCAAGTGGACCCTCTGTTCCTCCCAACACTGACTTGATGGCTTGCCCTTGGATCCTTTCTCTCTCCTCAGAGGTGAAAAGGGCTTGGAGAAGTTGTTGACAATCATCCCAGGTAGGGTCATGGGTATGAAAAACAGATTCTAGGAGGGAGATCGAAGCCTGGGGTTTTTCCAAAAAAGGGGGATTTTGATGTTTCCAATTATACAAGTCACTGGTAGAGAAAGGAATATAGAAATAATGACCCTATTCTATTTCCCGAAGAGGAAAAAGAGGAACTGAACCAGTCCCTTCAGTGGGAGCCCCGCTGGGACCATAAGTGGCCCCAGTTCACGTGTGGGAAGGGGAGGTTACAGAATCTGGAGACTTTTTCTCTTTGGGAAAGGGAGGGTAGAAAGGGTTTCGAGATTTAGGGCCGGCTTTTTCAGAGGAGGAGGATGGCTCCACATAGGGTGGAGGTCTTATGACAAGATCTAAGGGGTCAGGATCTTGTGAGAGCACTGGCTTGGGAGCCTGGGCTTTGGCCTCTCGGGGTTCTCTTGGGGCCATAACCAGAATGTGAGTGTTTGTTCACAGGGAACAACGCTGCAACCAAACCGGAGGCTCCTGACAAGCCTGGACCCAAATATTTATATAAGGAAATTGATCAGGATGACTAGGGTGACCAGTGACCTTATTCCATACAGCCCGACAGAGGCTAGGGTCAAAAGAGCCCTCTGCTGGCCATCCAACTCCAAAAGCTGCCATTCCAATTGACACAGGGAGCGAAGTTTTCCACGAGAAAATTTAACCCCATATTCGTCCTCCTGTTCAGGGGAAAAAGCCAATTTAAAATGAGTAAGAAAACAGTCTAATGGGGTGACCTTGAAGCAGGATCCTCCCATCTCTGCCCTTGATGGTTTAGAAAGAAATACAAGGTTAAACACACAAAGGACAGGACACTAAGGAATGACAAACAGGCGCCACAACAAAAGTGAAACTAAATCTTCCCTTGTTCCTCGTCAGGGACCTTGGGGTCAGGGAAGGCTTCCTGGCTCGTCAGCCACCTCACTCCTGACTTAACAAACGGTTGCAACTGGCCACAAAATCTTACCTCTGGAGGTTTTCTGAGGTCTGTGCCTGAGAGTCTCCTGCTGGATCCTGCTACAGAGTCTTGGCTGAACCGGGGTTCCTGCCCAGGGATCTCGCTGGGGCCTCCAAAATGTAAGACCGAGGGCCTTACCAAACGCTCCAAGGAGCTGACTGCAGCGACGAACACCTGGGAAGGAACACAACTGACAAGTTGGAAAGTAAAACAGACCTTTATTAGTCTGGCCAGACGGCACTCCCAAAGCAAAGTAGCTTAGAGAAGCAACTGGCTCAGAGTCCGGGGCTGTTTTTATAGGGGGTTGAGGGGGAGGTTAACATGTAGATTTTAAGAGAAAAGAAACAAGGGTTAGTGGTCGACTGTCACGTACTGATGGTCACGACTGTCACGTACTGATAGTGGGTCCAGGACCATCTGATCCCTGGGCAAACAAGGAGTTGAGTAATTTACCTTTAAAACTATATCTATTACAAATTTTATCTAGCTTCCCAGAACTAACAAGCTTCTTAATCATTAGCTCACATTTAATTGCAGTCAGGGCTACAAGAATTCTAAGATTACAAGGTTTTGTAGTCCCACATTACAGGACTGTCAAGTCCAAAATCTCCTGGGCAGGACAATAGTCTGAAAATTCTGGCAAGAGCTGATGTTACAGTCATAAGTCTGAAATCCATGGTGAAGACCAGAGGTAAGAGACCCAGGAAGGATTTACATGTTGTGGTCTTGAAGCAGAGTTCCTTTTCCTTTAGCAAACTCAGTCACTGTCCTTAATGCATTTAACTGATCAAATGAGTACATCTACAATGTGGATGGAATTTGTTTTACTGAAAGTGAACTGAATTTAAATATTAATCATGTTTGAAAAAATATTCTCATAGCAACATCTAGAGTGGTGTTTAACCCAACTAATGATCAGCATTGCCTAGCAAAGTTAAAAATAAAACTAATCATATAATTTATATATCTGTATCTGAATGTTAATGTAATCTTTAGATAGTTGATTTAACATTTCTTTACTTTTCTGAAAATACTTCCCATCAGTAGCACACGCTTAATGACAAAAGTTATAGGATTACTGAAATAATTAAATGAGAAAGCATGTTTAATGCTCCAGATAAGTAATTTATAAATTTTATATTTAAATAATATCTCTCTATTAGTGCCTTTTTCTGCATTTATACAGAACTACAAGTAATTAACTGTATAATACTACTAGTTCCTCCCTTATTGATCTTCATTTTTCTTTTCATTTGCAAGATGTAGAATAAAGAGTAGAAGCTCCTGAGCTGTCTTCCAAGTGTAATATTTCTTCACCTATGACATCACTTCAGTGGTAGTTGTTTCTCATGCCATTCATGAAACTCCTAACATATCTCTATTTTTGTCTCTTGACAAATGTAATGTTGTCACTAATTATCAAGCAAAAGAAGGTTCTCATTTTTCTATTGTTGGTAATAGTTCCAGGCTAAACCACCCACATTTTCTTGTCTGGTTGCTCTGGTGACCAAAGTTATATTCCTAGGAAATGAGGTCAGTACTCAGGAAACACAATTTTTATTTCAGTGCAAATGTACTGACCTGGATTAGAACAAAGTGGCACATTAGCTCCTCAGGGTAGTATGCATGTGGGCATGGATATACATAAATAGTAGGACAGTAACCGAAATCTATTATAACAGAATTATACTTTAAATGCAATTGTTTCATTTTACTGTCTAAAACATATCCACACAATCTCCATATGCATGCATCTAAATAAAATTGGCATTTAAAATAGACAGGTTGCAAACATTTACATATTCCCAATCTACATATTCCATTGATTATTTGTGCTCAGATTTAATTCAAGTCTGACTAGTCTGCTGTGACTGATTCATATGGGCAGTAATGGAGTATCATTGCCAAAGCTTCTCCAGGGTTTCCTAAGCCTGTTCCAAATCCATCTCTTTATATTAACAGCCAACAGGGACATCAGCTGTGCAACTAGGTTTTTCATGAACCCACCATGGCATTCAGATAAAGAACTGGAGCACAAAAGAACCTTTAGAAACGTAGATACCTCAACAGCAGTAAAAAAAAAAAAAAATCTGTAAACAAGTTCACATTTCTTGAATTATAAGTATTTGCAGCACAATTATTTACACATACACAAATGAGCATACAAATATCCAGTTGTGCATTGTTTTACTGTTTTGTTTTTGTTTCCCTCCTCAGCCAATGTAAGTCAAGGTACCTGTCTTAGATTTGAAGTCCTCATAGAATTTCCTTATACTATGACATTTCTCTCTTAATGAAATCCACTGAGATACTTAATGAGAGCTTTATGATAATATATCCCCTATACTCTTCAGTTGAAAGCCTACTTAATTGCATATATCTGCTTTCAAATGTAATTTGTGCCCAGAACTACAAACATGTCTATTGACATATAGAGTTCAGGATAATTTTCTCCTGGGTGATTTAATTTTTAGAAGTGATGCTGTATTCCCAAAATACTGTTTTGTTTTTTAACCAGCCATTTTGTTTCACAATGGTACAATGTATGGTTCACATACACATGGAAAACTTGTGTGTAGACCAAATATCTACTAAGAATAGCTTACAAATATCCTCCCATAATGAAGCAAAAATCACACTGTTAAACATTTGTGAAATTGGAGGAGAATGACTAGAAATCATGCAGTTCTACTCCCTTGTACCTTTACCATGATATTAGTGTTTCTTTTGAAATGTATTTGATGTCTGAGCTGCAAGAATTATTTCAAATGTTGAAAATTGGTTTTGCTACCAATTCATAACCTTACTATTTCATATTCCCATATCTCAAAAGATACATTCTTAAGAATATAAAAAATTTCAAAGGAAATAATTTTTTGCCAGCTCATGAATAAAAAATTACATTATCAGTATCTTTTAGTGCAAACCTTTATTTTCAGGAATTTACATATAGAAGTTGTGCTGTGAATGATTTTAATAGACTTTATTAAATTAAATGCCATATACTCATATATACATATGTATATTGAGTATATATATATATACTCATATAAATATATGAGTATATATATATACTCATATATATGTTATATTATATATATATATATATATATATATATATATATACATACTATTTCTTCCAAGAATAATGAATTAACTTTCTATTAGGACAATGCCATCTGATAAATGTATATTTTATGAAAAGTTTCTTATTTGTGTCCATTTGTATTGGTTTTGTTAGTAATTGTTCCATTATGAGAACCTTGGATGTTAATTGTGTGAAGTAGTAGCAGTTAAGGAAATGTAAACTATTTATATGGAGGATATTTTCATTATTGAGAATGTTTTATGTTTTGTTATATACAGCAGGCTGGCTGTTTTCTCTGAGCATTTTCCTACACTAATACACATTATTATAATTTTAAATCAAAATAGATTTCAGTGTTTTGATGTTAAGAAAACAGAAGTGGGTGACTTAAATGAAAGTGATAGTACTATCACCTTAGGAGCTTTCATTCATGAGGAAACATCAATACTGGAGCAATGAAACAATGACATGCCTGCAAATTGGAGGATTTTGCCACAGTGAAAGTCTCTTTCAGAGTTGCACTCTATTTATTGATTGAAAAATGCACAACAATAGCAAATATTTTTACAACCTTAGATGTAATGACCATATAGTTTAAGATCAGCATGAATGCTTTTAAAATAAAGAAGAAGCTTTATTAACATTGGTACTTGCAAGAGGAATATATTAGGACTCCCTGAATGGTCCATATTACTTTCTTTCTTTGAGCACTTAGGAAACTCACAGACATTTGGAAACCCATGTATGGAATGCACAAATTCCATTTTGAAAGGTAGAGTAAGCACTAAATTGCACTCCAATTGAGCAGAACAAATACTTATATTTGTGGAAGATATGTTATGTAGGAGAAGATTACTTCTTCAAGTTTGGTGATGTTAGTATTATCAGTATCACAATTTTGAATGTATAATTTTAGATTGAGATTTTAAATTCCTGATTGCCTATCTAGTCTCTTTGCTTCCATTTTCCCCACCATTACTGTTTACCTATTATTTACTATTAATTTCTTTCCATTACAAAATAGCTGGTGTGATTTTTTTCAAGTTTTCCAGTGCCTATTCTTCACAATTGAAGCAGAATTCGTCTTTAGCCTTTACCTATAAGGATTACGTAGAAAAATTAGAAAAAAAAATCCACTGGAAATGCAATTTTCTATCCCTTTTTTTACTGCTCAACTCTGTATAAAATATCCCCTCCACTTGCTGTTTTTTAAAGATTTTTCTTACACTTTCAGAGTCTTCACACTTGAAGTTGTCTCAAGCATGGACTTGCTTTATTAACCCCCAAATGGTTCATTATATTCATATATCTGCTTACATCCTTTTCTTCCAAAAGACTTTCCTAACTCCTTTATCTATAACAACACTTCTGATTCTCTTTTTCTTTACTTAGCTTTATTTCCCTTTGTAACACACTCTACCACCTGTATTTCATGTCTATTTTTTGTCTCACCACTACAATAAAAGTATAAATATGCCATATATATATATATATAATTTTTTCCTGATGCATTTTAGTACATAGAACTAGCCATAAGATATAGTTAAAATATTTATTTAATGAATGTATTAAAGTTAAAAATGAAATTGAATGACTCCAAACATAGAAAAGCACATATTGAAACAAATAAACAGGATAGAAAATATAGTGTTATTATTAACTAGATGATTTTCTGGGGAAAAGGTAGAAATATATGCACTTGTGGCATAATATTAATATAAAAATTTGAGGATATTATTAGATTCTAAAGTAAAAAAATAATTTTCCCAATTAGAATAGTTACAAATAAGTAGACTTCAAATCTATGGCCAAGGTTCTGTATTCTGTAAAAGCAGCTTATTTGTGGGAAGCATATTTGATTCGTATAAAAACTTCTTTCATCACCTGCATCAAAGGTTTGAACTTCAATCCCAGATTATCCATACTGGAAATCTGTTTTGACATACAGTGTTGGGCATGATGCTCATATTAGTTGGAACATGGTAGATAAATAAATATGTGGTGTCATTTCCAGTTAAATGAAAATGGTGACTAGCTCTACAATAATTTTAAAGTTTTAGTCAGTCCAGCAGACAATTT